GGTGACCAGGCTGGCCTCGAACTCACAGAGATCTGCCTGCCACTGCCTCCCGAGTGCTGGGATTAAAGGTGTGCACCACCAACACCTGGCTGAGAAAGGGTTTCTTTAAGCTTGTTTTCAGATGCCTCAGCTGTACACGTTCACTGTCTTCTGCTTGGACAGAGCTTTAGTGAGAGCACTGTTAGGCTCAGATAGATGGGCACCAGATGTTTCATGACTTGCAACTTAATACGCAGAGCTGGTTTTACAGGATTCAGAACTCTAATAAAACACCCATTATTTTTTACAGCCATCCTTCGAGGTCTGAAAAAAAAGGGCATTCTCCACCCAACACCCATTCAGATCCAGGGCATCCCTACCATGTGAGTCTGGGCTGTGGGCGTGGGGCCCTTGAGAGCTACAACAGAGAAGCAGGGCCCATTTGTCCAACTGTCTTCTGCTGGGCCCAGTCCTGAAGCTGTCCTCTCCCAACAGTCTGTCCGGCCGGGACATGATTGGCATTGCCTTCACCGGGTCAGGCAAGACACTGGTATTCACACTGCCTGTCATCATGTTCTGCCTGGAACAAGAGAAGCGGTTGCCTTTCTCCAAGCGTGAAGGGCCTTATGGCCTCATCATCTGCCCCTCGGTAAGATAGGATAGCCTGGGGTCAGGATAAGGACTGAGGCTGACTTCTGGTACCAGCCTTATCTCTATGCCTTTAGCGAGAGCTGGCCCGGCAGACCCATGGCATCCTGGAATATTACTGCCGTCTGCTGCAGGAGGACAGCTCACCCTTGCTGCGCTGTGCTCTCTGCATCGGGGGAATGTCAGTAAAAGAGCAGATGGAGACCATCCGACAGTATGTACAGACACCCTGTCTCAGGCATCCCCAGCGTTCCCAGAGAAGCAAAAGAACCCTTTAGTTTAGCGCATGCTCTCCCACAGCTACGTGAGTCCAGCCCTTGAGGGAAAGTGGGGGTGGGTGCGGTGGAAGGATGTGCTGGGTGTCGTGGGAATGTGAAAGATGGGTTGTTCCCATTCTCTCGAGATGTAAGAAGTCAGGGAAGGCTTTACAGGGAAGGTGCCATTTGAATTCTTGCAGAGGGGCAGTTCAGGCATGAAGCTCAGAGATGAAACCTAGGGTGTCCCGAAAAATCAGAGCTATTCACTGTGATTAGCCAAGGAAACTAAGGTACTGACATGAGGCCAGACCCCAGTAGCATGTCTGACCTTTCCAGGTAGTAGTATAGTCCCAGGAAGACATCTCCAACTCGATGAACGTGGCCCTGAGATCATAGTCATAGCATATGCCTTGCCTGATCCTCAGACCATCCCTGTGTCTGAGGTATCTGCAGACTCAAGGAAGATGTAGGCACAGAAAAGATAAAGTCAGCTTATGAGAAAAGTGAGTCCAACAAGGGGAATGCAGGAACCAGGGGTCTCTAGACAGCCCTCTTGGGAAGGTGTTTCAGGGTGAGTACAGGCCAGAAAGGTGCCCCACCACCACCACCAGATAAGCAGCATGGCTGCACATAGGGGCAAGTGCTGAGACACAGGGAAGGAAACAGCAAAAGCAGAAGCCAAGGTCCAGCCTCTGATAGGTGATAGGGAGAGCCAGGTAGCCCAAACCTCAGGGTTTCTTTTTGTTCTCAGTGGTGTGCACATGATGGTAGCCACACCTGGACGCCTCATGGATTTGCTGCAAAAGAAAATGGTTAGTCTGGACATCTGTCGCTACCTGGCCCTGGATGAGGCTGACCGAATGATCGACATGGGCTTTGAGGGCGACATCCGTACCATCTTCTCCTACTTCAAGGTGCCCCACCCCTGCCTCACTCAGGCATTCCTGCACAGACATGTGTACACTCATGTACTCCATGGTGACCTGCAGAGAGTCTGTGCACTGTCATGCCTCTGCTTTCAGCACCCTCAGACCCCATCCCCTATATGCCCTCCGTCTAGCCCTGCATGCCCTTAACTCAGTGGTTCTCAGCCTTCCTAACACAACCCCTTAACACAGTTCTTCATGCTGTGGTGGCCCCCAGCCATAAAATTACTTTGTTGCTACTTCATAGCTGTAATTTTTCTACTGCTGTGAATTATAATGTAAATGTCTGATATGTAGGATATCTGATATGTGACCCCCCCCAGAGGGATCATGACGCACAGGTTAAGAACCACTGCCTTAGCCCTAGCCCCACTCTTCCTCAGGGCCAGCGGCAGACTCTTCTCTTCAGTGCCACCATGCCGAAGAAGATTCAGAATTTTGCTAAGAGCGCCCTGGTAAAGCCCGTCACCATCAACGTGGGACGTGCTGGAGCAGCCAGCCTGGATGTCATCCAGGTAGGCAGGCACTCCTAGCGAGCAGTCTTACCAGTACAGGCTGAAGCTAGCCATGCTCCCCTGATGCTGAGAGTCCACCTTGTGACCTTTAGCCAAGGCCATTCTTAGGCTGTCCAGCCCTCAATGGCAAGAGACTTCTGATCACCCAGCCCAGACTGAGAGCCCCGCTACAATCAGGGCCATGAATGGTGAGCCTAATCTTGGGGTCACCTGACCTGGCCCTTATGGTGGCAGGAGGTGGAATACGTGAAGGAGGAAGCCAAGATGGTGTACCTGCTCGAGTGCTTGCAGAAGACACCCCCACCTGTGAGTACAGCTGGACCAGGCTGGTCCCAGAGTTCCCAGGATGAGAGACGATGGTAGGGAAATATGATGGGGACTCAGTATGACACCTTCTGACTAGAGTTGGCCTTTTTGGGCAGGTGCTCATCTTTGCAGAGAAGAAAGCAGATGTGGATGCCATTCACGAATACCTTCTGCTCAAGGGGGTTGAGGCTGTGGCCATTCATGGGGGCAAAGGTCAGAATGGTCACTACATTGGCATAGACCTGCTGCCATGACTACTCCCTGCCTTCCCATTCCCTGCCCTTGCCTGGCCAGCCTGTGCTGCTCCCAACATTCCTACTATGTTCTGACACATAACCTTACTCACCCTAGACCAGGAAGAGCGGACCAAAGCCATTGAGGCATTTCGGGAAGGCAAGAAGGATGTCTTAGTGGCCACAGATGTGGCCTCCAAAGGCCTGGACTTTCCTGCCATCCAGCATGTCATCAATTATGACATGCCTGAAGAAATCGAGAACTATGGTAAGAAGTTTGGGATATCAGTGGGCTGGACGGGAGGGCCAGGTGTCCAAGGGGTAGGCTGCAGACTTTCTTTCCTCACAGTGCACCGAATTGGCCGCACCGGGCGTTCAGGAAACACGGGGATTGCTACCACCTTCATCAACAAGGCCTGTGGTGAGTCTGTCACTGTAGCTACCTTGGCTCTGCCTTGGGCCCTCCATGTGTAGCCATCCAGGTTGTAGCTCCAGGATGGAGCCTGATGCTACCCCACTATTCTCCTTCCTTAGATGAGTCAGTGCTCATGGACCTCAAAGCCTTATTGCTGGAGGCCAAGCAGAAGGTACCGCCTGTTCTCCAAGTGCTGCACTGTGGGGATGAGTCCATGCTGGACATTGGAGGTACGTGTTGAGCAGGAGCTCCATCTCCAGTGTGCAGCTGGGTGGCTGGGGCTGGTAAGGCAAACAGACTGAAATAGCAGGAAACTAGTCCAGAATGGTAGGGCCAGCTTGGGGTCTGAAACTTGGTCCTGTGACCTTGCTGACCCTTCTCTCCACCCCCCAGGAGAACGTGGCTGTGCCTTCTGTGGAGGCCTTGGCCATCGGATCACTGACTGCCCCAAACTTGAAGCTATGCAGACAAAGCAGGTCAGCAACATTGGCCGCAAGGACTACCTGGCCCACAGCTCCATGGACTTCTGAGCCGTCTGTCTTCCCTCTTCTCCCCAAGAGGCATCAGTTGCAGGACTCCAGCCGTGCATACACCAGCCCTCAAGACAAGAAGCCAGCCCCCTTGGCCCAGCTGGCCTGGGCAGTCCCAGTGCCCCCAGAATTACTATTTTTGTTCTTCCCCTGCTGTCATTAAAGCACAATCCCTTCTCTTCAGCTCTTCCTCTTTCTCGCCCACCTGCCCCGTGGTTCCTGGACAAGCCTTACCCTCTGCCCCAGAGCCACCCTGAGGCAAGACGTCAACATCTCCCAGAGTTGCCAGCCTGCTGTAGAAGGGACTGGCCAGCTGGTGTCCTATCTGGGGGTTCAAGAGTATCTGGTCAGGAATGCCCAGTAACTCAGGAGCCACAGTTGGGGGTCACGGGGAAATGGTTGTGTCCCTAGTCTCCCTGCCACTTGACACTGCTACTCTTCCTGTGCCTGCTCCAAGGCCTCCAAAGCCTCTGGCTACCCCTCCCTGCCTCTGCAGGCTCCCAGCCAGAAATCCCCTGCTCTATCTTCTGAGGAAGTGGTAGATGCCACAGAACTGCCATTCCAGCCACAGACACCCTCTGCCTCTGTTGGCCCCCACTCTTTACTGGGCTATAAGGACAGCAATGAGCCAGGTAGATGCTGTCATAACTGGGGAGCCACAGGTAAGATTCATACATGCAGACATCTGTTGCAAGACTAGCCCACCAACCAGGACTTCACCTTGCAGCAAGAGGGGGCAAAGAGGCGGCACAGCCGTAGCCAGGGCCTTGGTTCTTGTGCACCAGGAACACTATGTAAAGCGTATACTGATTCAGCAAAGACAGCGGTTGCTCAACCTGTGTTTGTCACTCCGTGTGAGGCCAGTGGCAGGCAAGTTACTTAACATCTGAGCCTTAATTTCCTCATTATTAAAATGTTGATGAGAATGTAAAGGACAGGGTCAGACTGAGCTCAGAGCCGCCTGGGCCACAGTAGACAAGGAGCCAGGAGCCAAAGGGCCCCTTGAATGTATTTCCTGTCTACTTTGTGACCACCAAAGAGCATTCCTCACCCTGGTTACAGCAGTCTTTCCCAAGGTGACATTACATGAGTGACGCAATACTTCCATAATTAATATTCGTGCACAGCCCCAGTCAAGGTCTCTAACAAGGCAAGTGGGATGGGGCGGGGTGGGGTGGGGCGGGAGGAAGACTGGGGCAGGAAGCAAAGCTTTAAGGATCATGTGATCTCCCTGGGGAGCACCCTGGGGGCTTGTCACCCACACTTGAGTGACAAGCAGTGAGCCTGACTGGAGCCCTGCTGCTTGTTGTGTGTACTGTGGGCTGCTTCTCTCTCCTACCCTGAAGAGTGGTCAGGGAAGGCCTCCAGGAAGAAGCAGCCGCCTGTGGCAGGAAGAGCAGTGGTAAGGATTGCCCAGAAGGGACTAATGTGAAGAAACACAATGGAGGAAGTAAAGGCGAGAACACAGGGGGTGGAGTGGCCCAGACGAGACTGAGAGGGAATAGCGGGGGTTGGTGGACACAGCCAGGGTGGGCCCAGGCCTAGTGAACTTTGGAAATACTTCCGATTGGGCTGGGAATATAACTCAGTGGTAGATCAATTTCCTTAGCACACCCAAGGCCCTGGTTTAAACCAATACTGCTAGAGAGGCAGGTAGGCCTCAGAATGGCAACCAGGAGAGAGAAGAGTCTTAAGGATGGGGCCAGGGCTGTGCAGTTCCCATCCTTGGGGTGCACAGCTGCCTCAGGATGGGGGAGGGTTCAGAGCTCGTGACTCAGGGCATCCATCCTGTGGTAAAACACTCACGTCCAGCTGATCCAGGTACATGCGCAAGAGGCAATGGTCCCCCAGTGGCCTCAACTCCCCATAGGCGTGTGTAGTCTTGGAAAGGCAAGAACCCTAAGGTTCTGCTGTCCCTTCAGTGAAGCCCAGGCTCCCCTCCCCCTAGCCCTGCAGCTGTCTCTGGACAGAGGGAGGGGGAAGTGGCCAGAAGGGGAAGTCAGAGGAGCTCCCGTCCAGCCAGCCTGTCACCAGTCTCCTCGGGTCTTCAGAACAGCCGTGGTCATGGAGTCTGTGGAGGCCCCGGTCAAGGATGGCATCCTCTACCAGCAGCACGTGAAGTTTGGCAAGGTGGGGACCTCAGGCTGCCAGCCATAGACAGAGAATAAAATCTCTGCTTAGCCAGCCAGCCTGTATGGACCTGAGCGAACCGGGAAGGGAATCTGGGTGGGCTGAAACCTGGGAATTTGGGAGTGGAGGTTCTTGGCCTTAGGTTAGGGCTGAAGCATCCTTTGAAAGCCTCCCTCAAAATGGTAGGGGTGCCAAGACAGTGGAAGAGTCTCAAGCAAAACCTACGTGTGCGATGGCCCCGAAGCTGGGGAAGGTCAAGGCCTGAGTGGCAGGACCCTTCCCAGCATGGAGTAGCACCCTGCAGACGAAAACTGGGTCCCCAGACACTCGGGAGGAGAGGGGTCGAGGGTTCATTTTCCTCCTTGAGCACAAGATAGTACGCCCACAGTTCAGCTGCAGCTGCTCCCTGGGTAGAAAACTGTTTCCTTTGCTAGATATCATTTGCATGTTTCCTTCCTTACCAGCATGAAGCTAAGGCCTCCTTCCCACCGCACCCAGTCATGGACTAAGTGCCCATTTTGGTTGGGGGTTAGCAATAGACAACAGTGTCCATTGGCCTGCCCCAACCACTAGATAAGCCGGTGGAAGTCCCAGGCTCCTATCTCATGGCCTTGAGAGACTGCTTAAGGTTTTGTTTGGTTTTGGGGTTCTTTTTGTTTGCTTGCTATTGCTATGGAGATCATTCAGAAAAGGGCAGGGTGGGATTTGAACTTGGGATTGACTAACCCCAAATACAGACTTCTTCCTGCTTACCTTTGCCCTAGCAAAGCATCCTCCTTCCTTTGTACCCTAAAGACTTAGAGAGGCAGAAGTCAGGTGACCAGTTGCTCAGCAGTTTGTACAGAGTTGAGTGGCGGGGGGAGCCTTCTCCCCAAGAGTCTATTTCTTTACAGAAATGCTGGCGGAAAGTGTGGGCTCTGCTGTATGCAGGAGGCCCATCAGGTGTAGCTCGGCTGGAAAGCTGGGATGTTCGTGATGGTGGCCTGGGGCCAGCAGGCGACAGATCCACAGGGCCTGGCCGACGAGGCGAACGTCGGGTCATACGCTTGGCTGACTGTGTGTCTGTCCTGCCTGCGGATGGTGAGAATTGTCCCAGGGACACTGGCGCCTTCCTGATCACTACCACTGAACGAAGCCACCTGCTGGCTGCACAGCACCGCCAGTCATGGATCGGCCCCATCTGCCAGCTGGCCTTCCCAGTGAGTATAAAGTGAACTGACCTGCGGAGACCACCTTACCCCTCTTACTCATGTCCTTGCTTAGTCATACTCTGCCACTTGGTAAGCACTGGCAAATCTGGCCAACAGCTCATAAGTCCATGAATCTCAGATCCCCATGCATGCTATAGAGAAAATCCAACAGTAGATCAGGAAACCTCCAAAGAGGAGAGTGGGCTTGCGCCCTGAACCCCAGTTGAGGACCCACCAGGCAGAGGATTGAGAAAGGTGTCCAAGACACACTGACAAGTATTGTAATGCTGGTGTCACGGGCAAAGGCCCTGGGGTGGGAAAACATGGTATGGGAAGGAGCAGAAAGTAGGCCAGCAGCTGAGGCCAACAGGAGTCAGTGACTTTAGGAAGTTCAGTGAGAGCCTGTGGGAACCTCCTCGGGCCATGTGTGGATTGGAGGTTTCATACTGAATCAGAGGAGATGGCTTTGGAGTATTAAAGCCAGAGGCTGATGGTTGTGAAAACTAAGGGTTCATGGTAGAAAAAAACAGTCAACTCTGGTAGTTCCTTGGAAAGTTAATCATGGAGCAGCTGGAGAGATGGCTCAGCAGTTGAGAGCACTGGCTCCTCTTGCAGAGGCCACAGGTTCAATTTCCAGCCTCCACACCGCACTCACAACTGTTAAGTCCCAGGGATAAAACACCTTCCTTGGGCCTCCATAGTCTGTGTTCACTTGTAGTACACAGACACATGTGTAGGCAAAACACCCATACACATAGCAATAAATAATAAACACTTTTTAAAACCAATCAGGGAGTTACCATATGGCTGCAATTCTCCTGATTCTTGTATAACCAAGAGAATGAAAAGATGTTCAGGCAAAATGTGGCCACCAGTGCTCATGGCAGCACTAGTCACCATTGCCAAGAAATGAAACAACATAGGACTATCCCCTGATGAAAACAAAACCTTAAGCTGGGCAGCATGGCCCAGGCCTGTAACCCCAGCATTTGGAAGGTGGAGGAAGAAAATTCAGCAGTTCAAGGTCATCCTTAGCTATTTGGCCAGTTCCAGGCCAGCCTGAGCTACTTAGACATTGCCTCAAAAACAAGACAATAAAAAAACAACCAGCCTGGCAGTGGTGGCACACACCTTTAATCCCAGCACTCAGGAGGCAGAGGCAGGAGGATCTCTGTGAGTTCAAGGCCAGCCTGGTCTCCAGAGCGAGTGCCAGGACAGCCAGGGCTACACAGAGAAACCCTGTCTTGAAAAACTAAAACAGGCCAGGTGTTGGTGGTGCACGCCTTTAATCCCAGCACTCGGGAGGCAGAGGCAGGAGGATCTCTGTGAGTTCAAGTCCAAAGCTACACGGAGAAACCCTGTCTCGAAAAACCAAACCAAACAAAAAACAAAAAAAAAAAGAAAGAAAAACTAAAACAAACAACAAAAAAACAACCAACCAAACAAAACAAAACAAAAAACAAGGAATCTTGAACAAATACAGCACAAAAAGCTAGCATATACCATTTTTTAATTCATAACATATCCAGAACAAAGAAACACATACAGACAGAAGGCAGGCGCATGGTCACCAGGGGCCGTGGGAGGCAAATGGTAGTACTAGACTGTCATTTGTGATGATGAGTTTTGGAATTAGGTGCTGCTATGGCTATACAACCTTGTGAATATAGGAAAACCACTGAATTGGGTATTTTAAAATAGTAATGTTGATTTGTATCCTTGTTTTTTAATTAAATGCTCAGAATGAAAGGAGGTGGGGTTTTGGCTTTGGCCATGCTCTTGTGTCAAGGTAGTTACACAGTGGACTATCAGAACCTGAAAGAATTTCAGACCTGGTTGTGGGATGGAAGTCGGGAAGGTCAGGGGTGACCTGCAGGGGGCGATAGGGAGATGATTGGAGAAGCCTGAATTTTTACTTGCTGCCCCTGCCTTTTCATCGCTGCAGACTATCAAAGCCACATGGAAACCAACCCAGCCCCTGGCCACATCCCCCTGGTTGCCTCCAGCTTTAGAGCACTAGGAATAGCCTTGCACTGCAGGGGTAGCCTTGCTTCAAGACCGGTTCTCAGGGGGCCCAGTGGGGATTGCTGCCCATAGTACGGATGGGAAATGACACAGGGGATCCCAGAGTCCTGCAGAGTGTGAGGCAGAGTGGGACTGGTTCGTGGAAGCTGTTGCCCGCTGACACTGCTGGGGAGGAGGAGCAGGATGGGTTCTAACTGATGACTGTAATCTCTTCCTTAGGGCAACGGAGAGTGTTCTTCCAGATCGGGGCAGGCTGAGACTCCAAAAAGGGGCTTTGTTGCCATGGAGGAAAACTCTATCTACTCCTCCTGGCAGGAAGGTGACTCGGGGGAGACCCTAAGGCAGGCCTGTGCCCGCCCACCCCAGCACTGTCCCTGAGAACTGATAAAATGTCCTTGCTTCCCGAGTACAGTGGGTGAGTTTCCAGTGGTGGTGCAGAGGACAGAGGCCACCAGCCGCTGCCGCCTGAAAGGGCCTTACCTCCTGGTGCTGGGCCAAGATGATATTGAACTTCGGGAGACTTCCAGCTCCCAGGCCTGCTACAGCTGGCCGTACCATTTCCTGCGCAAGTTCGGCTCTGACAAGGTAAGGTGCTGACCAACTTGACAGGTCCCTACAGGAAACAGTGGTCCTGGCTCATCAGCCACTGACCCCTGCCTGCCTGTGTCACTTGTGTGCAGGGCGTGTTCTCTTTTGAAGCTGGCCGCCGTTGTAACTCGGGTGAGGGCCTTTTTGCCTTCAGCAGTCCACGTGCCCCAGACATATGCGGAGCTGTGGCTGCCGCCATTGCCCGCCAGCGGGACCGGCTTCCAGAACTGGCCATGTCCCCACCCTGCCCCCTGCCTCGGGCCCTTTCCCTACCCTCCCTAGAGCCCCCTGGAGAGCTTCAGGAGGTGGCCCCGGGATTTGAGCTAGCCACTTCCAGAAAGCTGCCTAGGACTGACCCTGGGCCTCAAAGCCTGCCACTGCTGCTCAGCCCCTCACAAGATGGAACAGTATCTGGTCTGTATGCGTCTGTGTCCAAGCAGACCAGCAGGCCCGCAGCCAGTGGGAATTACCTCTATGAGAACCTGTGCATGCTGGAGACCAGTCCTGAGCTGTCCAATGGGGCTCCCGAGTCCCAAGAGGGCCCTCTTGGTGGCCACAGCCCCCTGGCCAGCCCCATCTACCACAACAACGAGGACCTGAGTTGGCCTGGCTCGGCCCAGGACAGCAGCCTGGAAGCCCAGTACCGGAGGCTGCTAGAGCAGGAGCTGGACGAGGCTGCCAGCCCTGGCCGCTCTGGTGCACAAGCAGGCATCAAGGCCAAGCTGGTGACCCTGCTGACTCGAGAACGGAAGAAGGGCCCTGCTCCCTGTGACCGGCCCTGAAGGCCTGTGCAAAGGTGATGCCCCAGGAAATGGAGGGAGCAACTTCAAACATATCCCCCGCCTCCTCTGACAAGCAGAGACGAGCCAGGCAGCCTGGGGAGGAGCCACACACTGCCCTATCCACTCCCAGCAGAGAGTGTACAGATTGACCAAAAATAAAACTTGCCTACCGACTTCCCCTGGGTTCTGCCTATGACCCACAGTCCATACTGACACATAGTACCCTTATGTTCATTGTAGCAAACTCCAGGCCTTTATGCTGAGTGTCCTGAGCCTGACTTTAGCCACCACTGGGCTAAAATCTACTCGAGGCAGAGGGACAGGAGACAGGTAGTCTGAGCTCTCTGTGGTTCTGTGCAGCAAAAATGACAGCCGGACAGAGGGGGAGACATGAGATCTGTGACAGAAGCACCCTAAACTGAGTCAGAAGGGTAAGCATGGCCCAGCCAGGCAGGCTGTGATCAGGACAGAGGTGATGCCCCAGAAAATGGAGGGAGCAACTTCAAACATCCCCTGCCCCCTCTGACAAGCAGAGACGAGCCAGGCAGCCTGGGGAGGGGCCACACACTGCCAGGCTCAGGAGGGTCATTTATGAACCAGGGTTGGCGGTGGTTGTCCTGCAGTAAACTGGGCGCCATCCTTGGAAAAGATAACAGACTTGGCAAGGAACGATAGGAAGGCTGGTTCTGGGGGACAGAGGAAGTGGGGTGGCTAAGCTGTGGAGGGGGTGGTGGGCACAGGGCAGGGGTGTGGTGGGGAAAGACTGGAAGAAGGGCTGTAGATTGTACACATCCAAAACACTCAGCAGTTTGAAAATATGTCTGGAGAGCCTCTGGCCGGCTTCATCAACTATAAAGAAATAATGAAAATGAAAAACTAAGCAATAAAGTCATGTGGGACTGGAGGCAGAGCTCGGTGGTACAGGGTACAGCTAGTGTGAAGAGCTCAGCGGTATAGGGCATAGCTTGTGTGAGGGAGACCCTTCAACACACACTCACAAGTAAAACAACCTTCAACACACGCAAGTAAAACAACCTTCAACACACACTCACAAGTAAAATAACCTTCAACACACACTCACAAGTAAAATAACCTTCAACACACACTCACAAGTAAAACAAAAAGACAGCATTATCCAGGAGGCAGAGACAGGTGGATCTCTGTGAGCTTGAGGCCAGCCCCATCTCTATGGTGAGTTCCAAGACAGCCAAAGCTACAGAATGAGAGCACACCTCAAAACAAAGCAAAAACAGGGCTGGAGAGATGGCTCAGTGGTTAAGAGAACTGACTGCTCTTCCAAAGGACCCAGGTTCAATTCCAGGCACCCACATGGCAACTCAAGACTGTCTACATCTCCAAGATCTGACACTCTCACACATACACACAAGCAAAATGCCATTGCACATAAAATAAAAATAAATTTACAAAAGAATTTTTAAAAAAAAACAGCCAAACAAAAAGCACACGCACACACACACACACACACACACACAACAGCAACAATATCAAAAGATTAAATTATAGGGGCTGGAGAGAAGGCTCAGAGGTTAAGAACATTGATCTTCCAGAAGTTCTGATTCAGTTCCCAGCAGGCACATGGTGGCTCACAACCATCTATAATGAGATCTGACCTGCAGGCATACTTGCAGATAGAACACTATATGCATAATAAATAAATCTTTTAAAAAGTAGAGAGTATATTATAAAAAGATTAAATTATACATTATACTTAGTCATTAAGATTTTTACTTGGGGTGGGGGGTTGAGAGGTGGCCCAGCAGTTAAGGGTGCTTGCTGCCTGCTCTTCCAGAGGCTCTGAGCTCATAGCTATCTGTATCTCCAGTCCTGGGGAACCCAATGCCCTCTTCTGGCTTCCATGGAGAATGCATGTATGTAGCACAAACGTTTGATACACACACGCACAAAAATCTTTCTTCAGAAGTTTCATTGAGATCGTGGGTGAGGCGAGAGCTTAGTGGGTAAAGAAGGTGCCGCTGGAATTGGGATTCCCAAAACCCACATAAAAGCTGAGGTGTGTTGCGACCTGTAATCCCAGCTCCTGGGAGGCAGAGACAAGATCCCCATGGCAAACGGGCTAGGTAGACTAGCCAGAGTCAGTGAGCTCTAACTTGAAAGACTCTCAACAGGGTTGGCGAGAAGGCTCAGAGGTTAAAAGCACTGACTGCTCTTCCAGAGGTCCAGAGTTCAATTCCCAGCAACCACATGATGGCTCACAACCATCTGTAATGAGATCTGGCGCCCTCTTCTGGCCTTCAGGGACGCATGCAGACATAACACTATATACATAATAAATAAATCTTAAAGAAAAGAAAAAAGAAATAGTTTTTTAAAAAAGACTCTCAACAACGTGGGAGTGGAGAAAGACAGTGTCAGCTTCTGGCTTCCACACAAAACACACACACACACACACACACACACATCTATGCAAAGAAAGAGTTTTAAGAAAGAGTTTTGCCAGTGCCTACTCCATTCCAAACACTGGGGAGCATTCTGTGCTCCAGACAGCTTCAGCTGTGTTCTCAAGGAGCCCCCACTCCACGGCAAAATGAGCAAATTCCTTTAAGACACCAGTGTTTGCCCCTCTGCCGCCTCTGACTCTCCACCTGTGCATAAACGGCTGTTCCCGCTCCCAAGGGTCTGGCTGCTCAGTCTCTGGACTTTCTGATTCAGCTGTCCACACACTTTGTAGACAGGATCTACAAAGCTTACTAAGATTATAGACATCCACACTCAATGACACTCCCAAGCCTTGTCTTCATGACAGTGACAACCAATCTTGCTTCTTCCCTTACACTCTCCTCCCCTCCTGTCTGGTTTGACTTGCAAAGCTCTCAGGCTCTGGCAAATTCACTGGCAGCTGCGCACACCTGGACAAATTCACTTATGGAGTCTTGACTGTGTTCTCACACAGGCAGGCTCCTCATCCTATCTGTATAGCTCATGTCCCCAAGGGCCCCTTCTGTGCTGGTTTGAATGAGAATACCCCCCCAATAGGCTCATATGTTTGAATGCTTGGTCCCCAGTTAATGGAACTGTTTAGGAAGGATTGGGGGGTGTGGCTGTGTTGGAATGGGTATGGTCTTGTTGGAGGAAGTGTGTCACTGGGGTGGGCTCTAAGGTTTCAAACATCCATGCCAGACAGAGTCTTTCTCCTTCTGTCTCCTGCTTGTGAGTCAGGAGTAATCTCTCAGCTACAGCTCCGATACCATTCCTACCTACCACCCTGCCACCCCTCCCAATATGAGGAACACGGAGTAAATTGGACAGGGTGTCTCATCACAGCAACAGGACAGTAAGACATCTTCAAACCTTTCCATTTGCAGCTATTCTCGCCTCCTTCCTAGACACTGTCAGTAAGCAGCATTCAACAGACATGGACCTGTCACTCCCTCTACTGCACTGACAAAGGGACCAGTGTCTTCATCTGTTCCCATCCTTACAGCAGAAGGCGCGTCTGTCTCTAGAGTGAGCTCCCATCTGAGACGTCCAGAGCTTCTCTTTTGGACTTTCCTCTCTCATTCATTCCGTCCCCAGCATCAGCATCTCGCCATCACCATTTCCAGCCATACAGAAACTGACAGGTGCTCTCTGGCTTCACACCTGGAAAGAACCCTTCCTTTAACCCCACACTCTCCTGCCACCAGCTCCCCACTTCTCTGTTCTGCTCCACAGCGAAACCCCTCAAAAGAGTTCAATTACTCTCATTTCCAGTTTTCCACCCCCACTCTCTCCCTAACTCAGCTTCCTCTTTTGTCTACTGTCCTATTACATAACTTTTCAAAGTCACCAACTGCCAGCCAGACCAGCTTCTCACTGAGACGCTGCAACCCCTCTGCTTCTTGGCAGCATTCCTTGCCTCCTCCTGCATGCTTCGTGGAGTTTTCCTGCTCTCTGGCAGTGCCTCCTGCACTTCTGCACTTCACAGGATGGAAGCCAGTGCCTTTGTCCATGCTAGCCACGATCTTCCACTGGGCGGCAGAACCAGCCTCCAACCTCTTGTGCTCTCTTCTCTGTTACTGTTCCTCGCAGAGTTCTTTCAGATAAAAGTGTAGTTCGGGCCAGGTGGCGGCAGCTCACACCGTTAGTCCCAGCACTCGAGAGGCAGAGGCAGGCAGATCTCTGTGATCAAGGCCAGCCTGGTCTATAGAGTGAGTTCTAGGACAACTAAGACTGTTGAGAAACCCTGTCTCAAAAAAAAAAAAAAAAAAAAGTGTAGCTCAGCCTGGTTCTGTATTAAATCACTTGGAGACCTTTGAAGGGTGTCCATGGTGATGCTCACACAGAGCCCTGATTTTTACTAGTTGGGTACATGGAACCTTCGCATCAGTGTTTGGTTTTTCAAATTCCGAATTATTCTAACATCTGGCGTCCTGAGCTGAACCATTGGCAAAGGTAAGTTAATCACTAGATTCAATTTTTAAGATTTATATTTATGTTTATTTTATGTGTGTGTGTGTGTGTGTGTTTTGCCTGTGTGTGTGTGTGTGCACCAAGTGTATGCAGTGCTGTGACAGCCAGAAGAGGTCGAGGGCTTGGATGCTCTGGAACTGCATTTATAGACTCCAGTTATGCTAATCACCGTGTGGGTGCTGGGAACCAAACCCAGGTCCTCTGCAAGAGCAAAAAGTGTTCTCCACTGCTGAGTCTTCTCTCCAGCCCCACACATTACTAAAATTTAAAGGCTATGGAAATGCTGATAACTTCCAAAGGCATGTCCGCCTTCAATATAGACTGTCTGGGGCTGGAGAGATGGCTTCATGGCTGAGAGTGCTTACTGCTGTGCTAGAGGACCAGTGTTTGTATGTCAGCACCCTATGAGCTGTCTCACAGGTGCCTGCGACACCAAGGGATAATGCAACCCTCCTCTGGTCCCTAATAGATCTCTACACACACACACATACACACACACGAACCACACACCACAGATCACACATACCACACATCACACACACACACACACACATACACACAGACATACCACAGCACAGATCACACACACACACACACACACACACACACACAAATCACATGCACACACACTACTTATCACACACACATACCACACACACACACACACACACACAGACATACCACAGCACAGATCACCCACCCACACAAACACACACAACCAAATCACATGCACACACACTACT